AATGTCGGGGGTTTAAGTGGAGAGAAAATGTTTTGAGAATGATGTACAAATGCGCTTTACACAATTGATGTGTGTATGGATTGCGGTAACAGTTGTATGAGCCCCTAATAAAATGTTTAAAAAAAAGAAAGAATGCCCATACATTAAGTCAGGGGTCCTCAAACTTTTTAAACAGGGGGCCAGTTCACTGTCCCTCAGACCCGTTGGAGGGCCAGGACTATAGTTTTAAAAAAAACTATGAACAAATTCCTATGCACACTGCACATACTTATTTTGAAGTAAAAAAAAACAAACGGGGCAAAAACACCCAGCAGGCCAGATAAAAGTCCTCGGCAGGCCACATGTGGCCCGCGGGCCGTAGCTTGAGGACACCTGCATTAAGTGGACGGTCTTTGGGCCTCTGCTAAGCCCTCCCTCAACACAAAAATATTTTGTTCTAACAACCTGGCATTCTGTGATGCTCACCCTCCCGACATGATCAATGAGGACAAAATGGGTGCATAAGCAAATGTGGTAAAGAAAGCTGATGGTTACCGACTATCAAAAGATAGTTTGGGGTCTTAAAGAGGCAGTTATCAACCTGTGGGTCGCGACCCCTTTAGGGAGGGTGTGTTAAATGACCCTTTCACAGTGGTCACCTGATTCACTAACAGTAGCAAAATTACAGTTAGGAAGTCGCAACGAAAATAATTTTATGGTTGCGGGGGGTGAGGGGGTGGGGGGGGTGTCACCACACCACATGAGGAACTGCACTAAAGGGTCGCAGCATTAGGAAGGTTGAGAACCACTGTACTAGGTCATGTTACTTACATTATTTGTTCCTGAAGTTAGTTTTTGAATGTAGGCAGGCTATGAAACAGCTTCCTAATCTTGCTTCTTGGCTTTCCAAACCAAACCATGTAGGAATTCACCAGTCTTACTAAAATACTTCTTTGGTTATACTACTCTCCTGCTCCGTTTCTTTTAGTTCCTCATTACTTTCAGAAAACTGGATGGCAGTGTAGTAAATTAGAGAGCAGGGAGAGTGACCACTGGCACTTCTAGAGGATAAGGAAAGGTGTCTAAAGTCTGATAACAAGTCAGCATTGCTTACCTTGCTCCATACTCCACGTGGAGTCTGCAGTCCAATCTTGCCAAATGCCACCCCGCACATACCTAGATCTACAGTAAACTACCCTGCAATGTGTCCTGTCAGTATGTTGGGTCATTGAAAGCTACTAAAGCAGCCCTGGTAATGCAGTGGTTATACACTCAGCTGCTAACCAAACGTCACTAGCTACCGCACAGGGAAAAGAGGTGGCAGGCTATTTCTGTGATGATCAAACCAACCAAACCAGATGCTGTCTGACACACAGGAACCCTGCAGGCCCGGAATGAACTGCCTCATAAGGTTTTTAAGACTAAAACATTTAAGAAATCTCACTGACCCCTTTTAAAGTATCGCAGCAATGCTGACAATAAAGCTTTAATAAAAATTTAAAAAAACTAGTAACAGTTTGAAATGTGCCTTTACTACACTAATTAGATTTGAGACACAAGGAAAGATAATACCTATCCGAGAAAATCTATGAGTTTAGGATATACCAATCTACTTAGGTATACTTATGTGTGTAAAAAAACACACACAATATAGAAACATATCAGAAAAATTCTAGAGTTTTCAGATATTAATGATCACCTTGAAATATTATCTTAAAGAATGTAAGTAAAACTATGATGATTACTCACTTGTAGCTTCCCATTCTGATTTGCTTAAGGTTCCCTAAAATAAAAAAATAAGGTTTAGATTCAATATATAAATAAACATATGCATATTTTTCAATTATTATGGTGGGGGGTGACCCAAAGCCAAAGCTTCACTGTAAATATATATACAATAATGCTTTTGTGATCTGATCACACACACAAAAAAATCAAATGAAATTAACTTTTAATGTCATCATCTTACCACTTTTACCCACCTGCCAAGTTCTCCAATTCACTCATGCCAAAGGGTGACTATACATTAAAAAAAGGTATTTGTGTGCATGTACAAAGGAGCCCTGTGGTAGACTGTTTCTTTAGATTTACATCCTTGGGAACCTTACGTTGCAGTTCTGCTCTGTCCAATAGGGCTGCTATAAGTTAGAACAGACTTGACAGTACTGTGTTTGAGTATGGGTGCATGTGGAAAGAGTATGTGCCTTGTGTATTCTATATTAACTGGGAAAATTAAAAACAAAAAAGACCATCTTGAAACACTAAATAACAGTGGAGGAAGGAATAAGATTTTTGTTTTTCCAAAGCAGTCACAAAATAAAGTACATTTCACATAAAGGAAATAAATTATATTTAAATCGTTTCCAAAAAACATTTGATAGAGAAACATTTTTACCGCTTTATTAATAATTCACTGAAGCAAGACCTATTAGCATTTCTAATAACTAATATAATTTGGGGTATAGATGAATATAAAACAATATTCTAAGATGTCAGCAGAAATGTATTGTGAAAGTATCTATAATTTCTATTAATGATAAAGACAGCTCTAGCCAATTGCCACTGTGGTATTGTTGCATTCATAATTAGAGAAATGTCAACTCTCAGGAAAAAGTTACTGAAAACGAAGATGATGTTTTTCTCCTCTAGGCCCTGAATTCTCTCTGTAGATCAGTTGGGAGACCAGGTACTTGTGGTAAGGAGACCTGCACTAAGGCAGGCAAACTGTTAAACCTCCTCAGAATGTTCCCCCTCTGTACTTTCTCTGAGGTAGCACTGAAGTGTACTTTATTCTATATCTTTAGCTAGAGCAGTCACAACTTAGAGGAAACACTAATGGGGATCTGATTTAAAGAACTAGGTCACTGAGGCTGAGGATTGCAAACCTGTAAAATAACCTCCTTAGTATACATATGAAGTGCACTTTTTTCCTTTTTCTATAAAATATTTTTTTAAATGAATAACTTACCAAAGGTAATCTTATATGACCGTTTTTCATATATTTTGCTGCATGCTCATAGTCCTCCTCTTTCTGAGAGGTAAATTTGGAATTCTCATTTGTAGGATACGGCTTGGGAAGCAAGTGAAATTCTTAGTTAAGATATTACACTTACATTTATAATTAAAACACTCGATTACTGAAATATAATAAGAGAATAATCCCTAAGCATTACTTTAGGATTACAAACGACACCTTAGAACTAGTGGGAGGGTGGGTGTAGGAGAGAATGGAGAGGAATATCCTTTCTTAACAAAGTAGCTATTATCATAATTTTGGATTATTTATGGATAAAATGAATGAAAAAATTTAATCTCCATCACACCCCATCAACAGAAGCAGCTCTCTACCTGTCACTGTCCCCACCAGTGTCGTGTTTTCCTGTTAAAAGTACAAAAGTTAAAAAGGCCCCATCAAAGGCTCTACACAGAACAGGATGGCCATGTAATAGACATGAAAGCATCAATAGCAATTAGAAATAACACATTACAAAATCTTGAGTCAACAAAGAACTCTTCTTGAAAACAAAGGATATGATTTCAAGAAAATAAAGAAAACTATCCAGCCTTTAAATACAGGCAGTTTCATATTGCTATATGAAGCAGATGAGCAGTAAGACAAAATTGTTGGTTTATAGATATTTCTTATATACCTAACTCTATGGACATAAGTCAAATTGAAACACAAATGAGATTACACATTTTCTTTAAAAAACGCCTTACATTATTTTAAAAGTTTAATTATATATACCATTAACTTATAAATGAAGCTATGTGATCCTATATATTTATATGAAATTCATAATATTTAACAATATGCAACATTTGAGAATATTAGGCTAGAGGTATACTAAGGGTTGCTTGGTTGGTGTGTGACCATCTCCCCAGCATTGGATGTCTTTACATTTGATGCTTATAGTATTTACCTATCACGATAATCTTTATTTTTTTCTCAAAGACATTTCCTCTAGTTTTAAAAACTTTTGTGAATTGGAGGCTTACAAAGTAAATCAGTTTAACATTCAATGATTCAAACACGTTTTGTTTCATGTCTTAACTGAAATCCCCACAATGTAACATCACTTATCCCACTTCCTGTTTTGGTTCCAGTTCTCTTCCTTATCTAACCCCTCTGAACTTTGTCCTTGTATAAATGCTACCCTTCCGATCTCAAATGATTATTCTAAAGGTTGTGTACCTTCCTGGTGGTATTGCTCCCAATACAAACCTACTGATTGATTGAAAACCAAGTGGTGTTTTGTTCCTTTCCAGATCTGAAAAGTGATTAAGAGCCATATTCTTGAGGGTTCCACTAGTCTCTGTCTCACCAATAACCCTAGTCTTTTCTTTAAGTTTCCCCCTACATGTTCCTTCCCCTCTGTCCAAGACATCCTAATGTGACCGCTTTCAGAGAAGTTGGTAGTGGTAGCCTGGCCAAGTATCAGCTAATTCTGCTTCAGGGTTCTGGGAGAGTGATGTTTGTATGGTCCACTGGACTTATTGTTGACATGCATCTATCTTCTTCACTCTTCTTTCCTCCAGACAGGGAAAGAAAGACCAATAATTGTCCTCTGGATGACTGCTCACAAGCTTTGAGGACATGAGTTGCTACTCAACAAAGCAAGACACAGAATACTGTTTTTGTGGACTGCGCTATGCAAATTAATCTTGGTGTCCCTGAAACCTGATCCAAGACCTCAAGATGTTTTGTTATGTGGAAGAAGCGACAACCTGTCCCCAGTGTGCTCACTCCACATTCATGATTACATCTGCAGCAAAGCAAATACTCCTATTCTACTTTCATACCACTCAGTCTGCAGGTCTATAAAATATCTACTTGTAGATGTTTGCAGCATCATTGAAAATCTTGTTTCTTTCCTCTATTGATCATTTTAAAGAACCAAATATGTTTACAAAGCTGCAAAACTGATGTTAATTTCAAAACCTACTACAATGTATATATGCTATTGTTTCTTCTCTAGGCAGTTACTACTCTAGAACTGTTCCGTGAGTGAGTGAGTGAGTGAGTGAGTGAGTGAGTGAGTATGAGAATGAGAAAGGTGTTAAGATTTTATAGTTCTTGGTTTTTCATTCTTCTGTTTATTCTTTTTTTCTTTCAGCTATCTTGCTCCAAGAAACAAGATGAATGTTTTTATTGCTGAAAGCTTATGTCAGTCAAAGTCTAAAGGCTTCAGGAAAAGACTACACAGGAAATACATCCACTACTGGGCTAGAACAATAGCATTCTTACTGTTCTTTCTGCCTCTGCTAGTAAACCATCCTCCACACTGCCACCACAATGCTACATCTGACATCTTTAGATGATCATGTTAGCCTCCAGTTCAAATTTCTTCATAGGCCCTAAAGAAGTAACTTGGTAGGACCTCCTGGAAAGATGGAACGTGAAGCAGATATATTACACAAACCTTCTTTAAGAAGGTGTGAGAAGAAGGATATGGAGGAAAAACTTGGAGGAAAAACTCGGAGCCTTGAATTTCTGAGATAAAAAGGCTAAGTGAATCAACAGCACAAGAGGCTGTTTTTAGGGGGGGAGTAGGGGAAAATGAATCATCCTCAGTGTTCCACAGCTTCCTGGCTCACGGAGAGGTCTCAAACCAAAATTGTATGCCCAACAGTAGCTGCAGAATTTGATGTGGCTTGAGTGGAGCTGGCAGACGAACTGGTAGAGCAGCAGGACACAAGGACTCATAGGCACTGATGCCATAGAAATGACCCTGCTGGTTTGGAGCTGTTTTTGAACTGGTGGAAAGGCAAGGCGCATTGGCTTCAAGGTCCTGCATCAGGCCAAGCCTGCTTGGAACTGTTATTTGAAATGGCAGAGGGGCAGGCACATGCATTCGTTGGCACTGCAGCCCTGGACCCAACTTTGCTAGCGTGGGGCGGTTTCTGAGCTGACAGATCAGTGTGGTGCACTCATTTGTGGACTCTGCAGTCCTGGACCCAACGCTGCCAGCATGGGGCTGTTTCTGAAGCAGCAGAGTAGCAGGGCACCAGTATTTGTGGGCTCTTGGGGCCTAAACCTGGACCATCCAACTCGGACTTTCTTTTTTGAACTGGTTGAATGGCAGAGCACACAAATTCATTGGTTTTGAGGGCCTGGGCATAGCCATATAGGTTTGGGACTTTATTTTGAACCAGAAGAGCAATACTAGAGGGATAGGGGACACACCTTCATGAGCTAGTGGCAGTGGCAAATCCCCAACTCAGCGTCCAGAGAAAGGTAGTCAGTACTTGTTTATTAGTATTAACTTTTATATGCCCCCCCTTTGGTGTTATTTGTTTATTAGCTGGTCTGTTTACTTTTTGCTATTGTAGATTTTTTAACATTCTGCTTTATCAATCCACCCGAGGAAGACCTAGCCACTCCTGCGCTTTTCACAGCTACATCATAATGCCTCCGTTCACACAGAGAAACAAGAAAGAAATGGCACAAAAAAGTAACCCATATAGAGGAAAAAGACCTTTCTGTGGGAGGAAATGCAATGAGAAGATCAGAAAAGAAATTCTGAAGAAATGTTCACAAACTTACAACGGAAGAGAAAAAGATTGAAAGCTACAAGAAAGCTTTAGAAGAACCTGGAGAAATATTAAAAAAACAATCTGACAAAATAAATGAAAAACATAGAAATTAATCAAAATTCCAAATAGAAGTCTAGAATATTAATACTAAATTATTACAATTAGACAACACTTTGAAGGAGCAAACCAAACTGAAACATTGGCAGGCTGAATTAGTGAGCTTGAAGATCAATTAAAAAAAAATCTGAAGAAACTCTAAGAATTATGTGGGACAATACCAAGAAAAGTAACTTACAACTCTCATCTGGGTTGCAGAACAGAAGAAACAAACAAGTTAAAAACAAACAAGTAAACAAACAGAGAAAATAGTCTAAGAACTGTTGAAAGAAAACACCACAAAGAGGATAAAATAACCATTCAAAACGATGAAAGAAACTCAAACATGTAGAAGCCAGAAGAAAATCCCTATGACATATCATAATCAAAGTTCCCAGTATCAAGGATACGGAAAGAATCCTGAGAGCAGCTAGAGAAAAAAGCAAAGTTACCTACAAAAGGGATCCAATAAAAATAAGTTTGGAGGATCGCAATGACCAATGCAGAATTTCCCCATGGCAGGGGATCTCAACCTGTGAGTCGGGACCCCTCTGGGGGTCAAATGATCGTTTCACTGGAGTTGCCCAATTCGTAACAGTAGCAAAAGTACAGTTATGGATTAGAAACAAAAATAATTTTATGGTTGGGGGGAGGTCATCACAACATGAGGAACTGTATTAAGGGGTCACGGCATTAGGAAGGTTGAGAACCACCACTAGGGGGATGAACAACAAAAATATAGGTGAAGGGAGACAGTAGTCAGTGTAAAACATGAAAACAATAATAATTTATAATTTATCAATGGGTCATGAGGGTAGAAGTTGTGGAGGGAGGTAAAGAGCTGATATCAAGGGCTCAAAAAGAAAGTAAATGTTTAGAAAATGATGATGGCAACGTATGTACAAGTATGCTTGATACAACTGATGCATGGAATGTTGTAAGAGCTATAAGAGCCCCCAACAAAATGATTTTAAAAAATAAAATAAGTTTGGAATTGTCAGGAGAAAACAGGAATGAGGCAAAGCAGTAATACATATAAAACCCTGCAGGAAGAAAAATTGCCAAGAATCTTCTATCCAAGAAAATTATCCCTCAATAATAAGATAGAAATATGGCTTTCCTGACACGGAGATTTTAAGGAACTCGTAAAAAATAAGACCAGCATTACAAAAATTACCAAGGAGAGTTCTTTGGACAGAGAATCAATTAATAGCAGACATTAACCTGAGAGCAAAATACAAGACACCAACACCCAGAAATCAAGCCTCTTAAAAAGCAGTTCTCAAAAGAAAATAAACCTACAAGACTGAAAATAGATATTCCCCAATGGAGACAACTACAAAGACAAACCATTTGATTGGAAAGGAAGTCCGCACAGTTTTCAAGAAAGAATAGACTGGCCTAATTTGAAAAGGTAATAATAATTTACAAAACCAA